CCCTCTTTAACGGACGCGGACACCTTTCTGGAGGTCCCAATGGGCAAATCAACCTCTCTTAAGCGGACAGATGACACATTGTCTGATAAAATGTATTCAATATTCGACAGTAAATAACAATTGAGATCAATTTACATGGCACATTGACACACCATGCAACTTGGCGCGAAGACATCAGAGCCAAGATTGAGGAAGTGACAAACGAGGCCGGAGGACTGTGAACCGCCAGTCATGATGATACTCAAATTACACAACTAATTACACACCTTTGCCTCCTACTGTGTTTTTCTACAAACCCCTTTTAAGCGGACACCCCTTTTAGGCGGACACTTAGGCGAGGTCCCGAAGGTGTCCGCTTAATAGGGGTTCGACTGTACAATTAAATAGAAGTACAATGAAATAGCGGGTCTTCACTCCACTATACAGAAGGAAACTCCACGACCACGATGTGTCCGCAAGAAGTTTTGCGTATATATCCTCCACGGTAACCGTACATAAAAAAATTCCTCGAAATATACCATTTATACTGACTATCGTTCTTCAAAACTATACTTGTTAAATATAAAGTTTCAGTAACACTGTTTTGAAATTATTCCCGTGTTTCTTTGTGTGCTGTTTAAGGTAATTCCGCAGTAATTGTTCCCGAAATGAGAATGTGCTGAAACTTTCCAGGCATGGAGTTTATGATATACTTAAAGTAAAATCACACTAAAAAGTCGGGGTCACCGAACTCGTTAAGAAGATATGACAATCACAATCATAGTACCACCTTTACTCCAATATGGCGCCATCTTGACGCTCATTACGAGTAACAGTAAACTCACAACAGCCCGATATTTATTGACGTTTTTAGCGCGGATTTTGCTTTAGTAAACCTATCTTGTAATTATTTATGAAAAAATATTGTGTTTTGAGCAAAATGAAACTACTGACGTGTACAATTCTGATCCACAAATGTCTTTTCTTTCTTTGAGAACATGCATTGATAAAGCATTTTTTTTCAAGATCCAGAAATTATTTTTCTTTTAATTTCGGATATGAAATGTAAAATTCATTAAAGAAATAAATTATCAGTTAAAAAACGGAGGTCACCGATCTTTTTAGGGAATTGTGGCATTAAAACGTGAAATACAAGTAAATAAATATACTACAGACACAGGAACCCTAGCTACACTTTTGTATGCCTTCAGTGAAAGCATTGATTTTAACGTGATTCTTTGCACGAATTTAACCAAAGATGTTTTGAAGTAACATAAAATTGTCATAAAAAGATTTTTTTTAAACGGTACGTATAATGGTGAAATTATAAGTTATAAGATGTGCGCAGTAAAAGTGCGCAATACTTTATAAACGAAGAACGTTACTAATGAGCTAAGTGGCTGCATGGGAATCCTATCAAAATGTGGAAATAATATGTATATAATATTATTTAATTTATTGAAATACATACCAAACTTTCTCGTTACATTTTCTTTGTTTTTCTCTTCAATCTCACTCAATATATCTCTAACGGCGCGTTTATTTACTCCTATATAACGATTAAAGACATTTAAGGACAACATTACAACTGTATAAAAGGGCTAAATTAACCTCAAGTCATTTCATTATAAGTTTCGGTTCAGCTAGCCACACCTAAAGCCTGTTTTCCACTTCGAAAAATCGTATCGTAACGTACCGTAGTATTTTCTTTTGCGTCGAAGTCATTTTCACACTACCGCTCAGGGAACAAAGAAATAACGATTTGCGGCAGGGTAAAATTAAAAATCATTGAACAGCAATTATTGAACTGTAATCTATGCAGTAAAAGCGCCGAATTGAAAATCTGTATTTTCTCGTCAATATATAACAACATTACCGTATCGCAAAAAAAAGCACGTTTGCAGCTCCTCCTGCAATAAAGAGATTAAACCAGTTTTCCAATTATATACCTGTGTTCTCAGAAGAGTTTGATTTCGCCGGATAGCCGTATAAACCATGTATTAGACACAACGATTCGATCAAAGAGGATACATTTTTAGTAGCAATGACATCTCGAGGACAATCCAATTCATCTTCCATGTTCAAACAATACATTAAAACCACGCTCAAAAATTCCCTGATGTCTTCGAGAATCGTGCTACGATCTGTTAGGAAATCCTGAAACAAGTTCCGTTCCTCTGCGGGAACCGTTTTCCTGACGGCTGTCGTACTCGTTTGTCTTGTAAAGTCGGTCATAGTCCTAGAACTGTTTGTATACAGTTTCCCAGAATGGCGGAAATCTGCTAAGCTCTATAAACTTCTGTATTCCATCAACATATACTAATGACCTGGCATCGATTTTTTCTCACTTGAATCCTTTGTATCTACTTTGTAAGTAATAAAAAGTCAGGCGTTTATATGTACTGTCTAACAAAAATCTACTGTACAATACTGATTAAAACTAAAAAGTAATTTAGTAGTAGCTTTTATAGAGAAGGAATACAAACAATTTATGTTTATACCACAGTACTACTTACCTGTTTTGGGATACCACATCCGCGTCTTGTTTTAAAAAGTTACCTAGCAACTCATTTGTTTTGAAGAAACAGGCCAAGGCTTCTGCTTAAAATTTTGCCACCGTATCTTAGTTTCATTACCTCTTTGTTTGCTCCAGCAGTGAAGCGAGATTTTCAGATGAGCTGGGCCGTTTTTATCATTAATAATTTTATCATTAAATAATTTCTCATATTCTCGACATCCCATCTTCTAAAAGTCATGCAGGCACTTAACTGTATGCCGGGAAGAGGCCTTCATTGACACTTTACCTCATGCAGTAGTTGTATGTAATTACACGGGCAGTAAGGCCCTGTGTTTAGGTTCCCTAATTTTCTGTGCAAAAATTCTTCGTTTTTTTCGTCAACGTGAAATCGACGTACGCTCATGAAGTGAACCGCTGACCTGCAATGGATGCAATGCTGACCTAAACTCAAAATGGTCGCCAGGTAAGGAGCGGAAATTATGCGATAGGATTTTTTGTCTTGTTTGTTTATTACTATTGATATAGTATGAATTTTGAAACTTAACGTACTCAAATGTTTCTGGTATATTACCTGCGTTTTATAGTTGAACCCTATAGCCTGTCTACGGACGTTTTGAAATCCTTAAACGTTTGTGACTTGGGGGCCTTCGATTTGTTTACTATATATTGATGTAGTTTTCTTTAAATTTTAAACCTAACATACTCGAATGTTTGTGGTATATTACCTGCGTATTAGTTCCCTTACACACTAGCACGCAGCCACGCATTACAAGGCCAGTGTGAACGCCTGAGCAGGCGTTTTGTTTCTTTTAAAATGCCCTGGACAAGTCGGTATTTTACTCACATTGCGTGACTTCAAGTTAACCGAAGCATGTAGCAAAATAACAAAACTGTAACCATGGCCACAAACGAACGAAAAAGTATACCAATTTAGCTGGAAGTTCACACAAGATGCAAGGCCAAGGGCCACACAGACTTAAATAAAGATGCTTGTGATGTTACTCTGAGTGTATATCCACACCGGGCAAGCTTGAAAACTATACCTGGCCACGGTGGGAATCGAATCTACGACCTTTGGAATACCAGTGACGAAAATATACTTTTTTATAACTGGTTCTACTACAACTGCAAATGTGTCGCGAGTCCCGCTCTTATTCAATAAGCAAATTTGCATGATTAGCCTTCAGAAGTTTAAGTCAAGTCAATGAATATGCAATCCCTGAAAAATAAATTCACGATCCAACGTTTTGACATGGCCTAGCCCTCGAGCGTCAGTTTTAATTGCAGGCTGGCCCACACAATGCATGAAATTAATGGCGTTTCAGAGACGATGGATTTCAAAGCTCACTGGGAGAGTATGCCCTATGCAATATCCCCTTAGAATCCTCGCAATTTTGGCACTCGATATTCGTGACTTCTGCGCTTCCCATATCGGGGCGGTCAAAAATATCTTGTCAGATTGTGGCTGCTGTTTTCTTAAGAGAGACGTTTTAAGATCAAAATTGGTCGAAAAATCTTATTTACAACAATATATTCGCGCAAACATAGCAATAACACTCAGCCCGCTTAGCCTTATAGACGAGCCAGCCCGGGTCTTTGACTTTGCGTTTATATGCGAAATTCCTTCTATGTTTACCACAATTAAGCTGACAGAACAGTATGTTAAATCAGACTGTTTTTACTATGTATTTTAGGTAAGCACATTTCGATCTGTGAAACAAGCCTATATATTAAAGACCGTTTTCCACTTCAAGCGTACCGAAACGTACTGTACTACTGGTGAGCATGCGTAGGTTGAAACATATAGGTTGAGAAATTATATACTTGTACTCGCGTATCAAAATGAAAATTTCGTAGTGAATGAATCGATCAACGTTTTGGCGTACTACCGCAGAAGAAACTGTAATCCTTATTCTATGGAAATGTTAACTATATAAATCAACATTGGCACTAAATTTCGAAATTTTTTAAATGTTTCTTAAATTTTTTAAATAAGTGGAAAAAGACCTTTATTTAAGATGCATTTCGTGTTATTCGTGAAAACTGAAATTGTTGTATCTATTAACCCGATTTATAGAGACCTTCATTTTTCCTCTCAATGACTCTTCCTACTGAATAAAGGACTAAATTGAATATTGTAAATTGACACTAAAGAGTCAAAGTCTATCATTTAACGACTTTTACTTTTAACTGTAATAATAATTAGCCTACTGATGGTATTTACTTTGTGAAATTTGTAATGAAAGTGTGACAAACTTGTATATCATTATGAAAATGTGACTTGTATATGACAGTGAAACTTGTATATATATGAAAATAGTAACACGTTCATGCATGTGGGGAAATATTACGGTTTTATGATGCAATTGTGTGATAATTGGAATACATAATAAATACCAAGAAATGACGATTGCTAGCCCTAACTCATGTTCTAATTTCGGCTCATGTCTAACGATGATATCTCGTTAATTTTTAATGTTCAATAGATTTACTTCGAAATTTACTTCGACTATTTGCAGGTCATGACTAAATAAGGCTCGTGTTGTTTAAAATCTAAAGTGTTCTTAATTAATAATGCTTGCAAAGTCATCTAATATTGTTTCAGCCAGTATATATTATAGCCTTTAAGCTTTTTTCTTAACCTCAAAAATTCTATCAATCAATCAAAAATCGACTATATTTTAAAATAATTTAGTATACTTTCACTTTCAGTACATGTCAGGATGTTAATTTGTGGCCGGAAATCGCAGCCAATTTCCAGTCGTACAAAATGTTTTGTTTCGCGTTGCCATCACGACTAACCACGAAGCGATGCTTAAAAACCCAGGAGCTGGGCACACAACATGTAGAAACCTAAACACTCATCAACTTAGGCGGAGCGGCATCAAAAGTTAAGGTTTAGAAAAGCCTTAATTAGGGTTAGGCTTAGGCTTAGCCTTCGAGAACACATATGGCAATTATATTACGAACGCCAACGGCAACGCCGGTAAGTTTTAGAATATGTAGAGCAACAACATGCATGCAGGTCGTTGACGTATCACTTTCATAATCACACTGGCACTGCAGGCCAGACTACTGAGTTCAATTCTAAAGTGGTAAAGAATAAAACTATAAATTTTCTTTAAATGACTACATATACAATAAAATCATATACTTGTTGTCTTCATGATTTAACAGTAGATTGAGGTCTGAGGAATACCCGTAACAATAATAGGCGACTCCATGTCAACATTTTGTTGAAAAAACGTTTTGGGTAAATAATGAAGTATAAATTTTTAATGTTACAGGCAAGGTTAATTGCGATACGTTTGTCAGGTTAAATTTGTTCTCAGGTTCAATTTCGTCAATATGTAGTGCAAACTGAACAAAACGACGAGTCTATACCTTAAAATGAAATGAAAAATCTTACTGATATGTTCTACACTAATAGTTAGCAGTGGATTAATGCGTCCTAAACTGGACTTTTTTAATTTGCTGGCTCTTAGTAAACTTAGAAAGGTTCAAGAATATGATATGCCTCTGGAATTTTCCACTGCGAAATAAAATCATGCATATATAGCGTTAGATAAAGTAATAAATTGGATATATTACTCAAAATAATCAAAAATGTTTTATCTACAACATATATAATCACCATTACAAGAAACCCGCCCAAAAGCCTATATATATATATAATATATAGTACATATAATTACACTGTAAAAGATAGGAAGTACTGTTCTAAAATTTAGTGCAAAAAATAACACCGACTACCTCATATTGTACACTGTTTTATGTAGGAAAAACTTTTCATTCCTCCACCTTCCCTCACATCCCAAAAACAGGGCTATTCCGATGACGAGCCAAAGGTAAAACATTCATTATTGACATTACCACACTGATTTTTTACAATAGAAAAAAAATACAATCTTTCATTATGCTTTAAATCTTGAGCTTATATCTTATGTATAGTTTGATCACGAACAAATGAACAATGAAATAGAAAACCTTGAAATTCAGCTAGAAAATCTGTATTCTTATGCCTCGACTGTATCGTTTCACCCTGAGCTCATCACAGTACAGTCTGCAATATATTGCATTCTTATTTTTCACCCTGCTTGGTTTCCTTTGTTCTTATCGGGGAATATATTCGATATTCCCCTCTAATCAATTTCTCTCTAGTAATCTCCTCTAATATTCACCTGCAATGAACCTGCAATGTCTTTGCAGCACAAAAAATGAGAAAAAACAACATCACGAAGGCAATATGGCATTAAGAATTATTTCTATTCTGACTCATTAACGCGACCTCGCAATGTGAAAAATAAGTACGTTATTTTGAGGCACCTCGGGGATATGTGTTTATAATTCACCTCGGCGCTGTGCGTCTCGGTGAATAAATCACATATATCCCTTCGTTGCCTCAAAATAACCTATACCGCATATTTACATGCATGCATGACAATTGTGACATTTTATATTAATTATTGTGTGAATTATGATCTGATATATTCAAACCTAATTATTTGGTTTTCATCACAGTGTCATTTTATGACCCTATAAGTTGAAATTAATATAACATTTTTTTCTTTAGAATGAAGCCCCATCGAGTGATTGGCTGCATTCGCCCGACGAAGCATTGGTAAGTGGTAATGCATGTTGAAGACGTGAACAGCACCCCCC